GTATAAATAAAAACAAATGTTTAAAAAGTGTGTGACACGTTATATGCAAAATCAATTATAATCCTGGCACAACGTAAGCCTTATTCATGTACTTTTGTTTTATGAACACTGACAAAGGCAGACAGCGAAAAATCTTGTATTGGTTTTTAATCTTTTTTGTTTGTTGCATTTTTTTGACTATAGATACACAGGTCTTGGCACCAAATTTGCTGGATAAGAACGGTGAGTGCTTTGATTGAATATGATGGAACAATGAAAATAAAGAGAACTTGCAGCTCAGGAAGTGAATCAGAGGTTGCAACATTCGTCAGACTGATTCGTCTTTTAAAATCATTTAATATAATAATTGACACGTAGGCCTAAGAGTAATTTGTTTGGTAATCATACTGCATTGGTCTGTATGGTTTTGCTTTTGATTTCCAATGTTTTTGATTCAAACATGCTGCCTGAATCCAAGAGAACCCAAACATAGACAACATCTTTTTAAATGTTCCTTGTCAGCTTTAATAACTACAAACCAATAGCCTTGAAATATTAAAATGCTTATTTATTAACATTTGTATGTACAGTTTATCAAAACTAATCTGTTTATGATAATTGTTTGTTTTATGACTCCTATTATTAAAAAAGAGGCGTGGGAGTTTGTTGTCCAAGGGTCATTTTTTAAAATAACGGAGGCCTTAAACACATTAGACAGTGATGTGCTATTTTTGGGACTAAACACATTTAGGAATAAATCTCACTGTATATGTCCCAAAGCAATACTGGCTTCTCTGCCTGCACTTAATTCCCAAAAGTCTGACCATATTCTTTGACTGCAACTATTCACATGCTCACAATAAACTCATTAATAAATAATCAAAGCTTTTTAATGCATGTAGTGCTGACATTGCCAATAAGGAGGAGGGGATCTGAAAGGCCCAACCTACATCCAGTTCATCACCCCTGAGGACCTAGTGGATCAAGCAACTTTCTTAGGAGCTTTCAACGGGATAATGCCATACAAAATGGGCTGTGTGTAAGTGGATACGATGAGTCCATCAACCACTACAACATCTTCAAGAAGGGCAAAAAACAGGGCCAGTGGCCATATGCAAATCAAGAGTCTCTTGAAAGGAAGAGGAGTGGACACAGCTAACCGACAGACAAACCTTCAACCCCTCTTTCATCAATTATAACACTGCGAGAACCAGGAATATGGCTGCTGCCAGACATCTAGGGGCCCTATTTTAACGATCTTAGTGAATGGTCTAAAGTGCATGGTGCAAGTGCACATAGGGCGTGTCCGCCGCATGGTTTAAGAGGGTTGTCTCTATTCTCTTAATTTGTAATGTGTGCTTTTCGGGCGTAACATGCAATAAACCAATCAGAGTCATCTCCCATTTCCTTTAAAAGCCAGTTGTGCTCGCACCACGGTGTATTCACTATTTACATGACGTAGTTTGTAAGCGGAAAGACTGAACACGTATCCAGAGAGGAAACAGATCTGCTTGTGTGCGAAGTTAAATCACGCAAACAGACCATCTACAAGACAAGGCGGATTTCATTTCCACCATTTCTTTATGTACACAATAATAATCTTTTACATGGTAATCCTTTTATTTCTAATATTTGGCATGTTTGTGTGCTGCTGCACAGTGTTTGCACCCGCCTATAGGCTCATATTACTAATGCGCCCTTTAAAATAAAAAATAAAAAACATACTGCGCTATTTGACTTTAGACAAGATTAGATCAGGTTACCTCAAAATAGCAACGCGCCAATAATGCGCCTGAACACGCCTTATTTTCAGACCAGCAAGCCCATGGGTGAGCAGATGGGCGCAAATGCATTTGCTATTTAAATAACGTGGCTCAGGATGTGAAAATGATAACTGCGTCAGGCTGAAACTAGCAAAAAACACTTGCCTGACACTGCATTGCGCTAGGTGTATGATAGTATAGCATGAAGTATACTTCAGAAAATAACAAAGAAAGGATTGGTTAGATTGGATGATTAGAAAGCAAATACCAACAATGCAAAAACTAAATACAAATATTAACTTTAACTTCTAGCACTATGTGAAGTTAAGCAGTGATAACTGATTTGACAGATCTGAAATCTAAAGGAAAAACTAAAGGCCTCAAACAAAATGGTTATTTTGTGGTTGGAACAACATGTCAGCCAAAAAAAAAAAAAAAAAAAAAATCACAAGAGACATCTAGTCCCAGTTTTTTTTAACCAAGCACAAATAAATAAGCTAAAACTGCTTCCTTTGTGTAAAGTTGTAAAGAAGCTGTTAAAAGTGCAATGAGTAAAAACATGCTATAATCTCCTGTTGCCTTCACTGAGCCTCTGTGTCTATGCTGGTTTATACACTTAAAAGAAAACAGACATATGAAACCCAAACATTCTATTTGAATCTGATAATTATGCCCAGGCCACCAGATTTCCGTAAATCAGTTCTTTCTAAAGCCCAATTTACAATTCTGCGTCAAACTCACACCGTAGCTACGTCAGGCTGTGTGTAGCGCGCACTTCGGAGAACCCTATAGCTCTGGGTATAACTGGTTCGAAAAACAATTCATTAGTTCATTATGATGCGACGAGCTACATGCTTACCATCGAGTAGGGCTGAACGATTAATTGCATTTGCGATAAAATCGCGATATGATGAAACGCGATTTTGTAATCGCAAGAGCTGCGATTACACTGGATCACGTGACACGCGAGAGAAAAGCAGTCTGCAAGATAAAGCATCAACTTGCCACGCTACGCGGTCTGGCGTCCAGAAAAGAACAGTTTATTGTGTTATTTATTCTCTCCTCTCCTCAACAATCCTGGATCGATTCAGAGAATTTCAGAATCGAGTCTGAGCTTAGTTTTTAAACACAGATGCGTGATGACGCTGCGCGTGCTTTAGAAACGTACCGTGTTCTGAATCTGCTTGCTTCTATTTTCTCGCTCTCTCTCTTCCTCACTCACACACACGACACCGCTCGAACCTTCCAAAACATAGTAACGTTATTTCATAAAGTTCGGGAATAAACCGAATTACAAGGACATTCGCGGGCTTCATTGAACAGGTTTTGCCGCTTTGCTTGATGTTATAACGTTGCAGTGCGCGTTCTCTCCCGCGGGAATTTTCTTAACAAATGCTTCACAGAGGCATTATTTATGTATTTTGGAATGCAGTTGGCTTATATTAAAACCATGAAAATCACTGAGAAGGCTGCTTTCATTTTAAAATACTAACGCGTGCTTTGTGAAGAGCGCTCGTGCATGCGGCCGTGAGCGACTCATTGGTAAATGTACTTGCATGTCAAAATGCTTTTATGACGCGAAATTGATGTAAACACGGTCAGTTATATCTTAAACCAACAGGACAAACCACATTTACAATTTCAAAAGAGATATATGCATTAGTGTGAATGCAGCTTATCATATCTAAACTGAGGGGAAATCACTCCAGCTCTTGAATGAAAAACATTCAGACAGCCTACATACTTAGACCACTCTTTGTTTATTGCTTGTAATGTTTTTTTTTTGTTTCTCTTTATTTACTAGCTTTTATATTTTGAAGCTATATTATTTTATATAGCCTATTTAAAATTCTTAACATGTAATTGGTTTAATTAAATATTTTTTTTATATTTATTTTTTAAAGTATGTTTTTACACATGTAATTAAATACATATTTTAAGAGTTATTAAGATTAATTAATAAGAAAAAAAGTAGATTGGATCATGAGCTATCTAAAGATTCCCATCCCTACTGTACAATGATTTATTGCTTGTCTTTGTTGACTAATACAGATGGTAAATAACTTTTTTTTTTAAATCGCATATTAAATCGCAATCGCAATATTGGTTAAAAAAATCGCAATTAGATTATTTTCCAAAATCGTTCAGCCCTACCATCGAGTGCCGCAGTTATTGCGTCATGGCATTATGGCCAAAAAGTGAGTTACATTTTAGCACTTCCGGTTCCCTCGCCCTGAAGTCTATGGGTTTTTTGAATGGGTTTTGCTAAATTGCCTGAAATAAGGTCTGTGGTTTAACAAAGCCTCTAAATATATATATATATTTTTTTACGTTTTGATCTATATATAAGTTATAACCTACTTGTGTTTTTTTTTAAACTTTATTGTGTCTGCTTGTGTTTTTTATTTTAACTTTAGATAGGCTTCAAAATGTATACATTTTGTATTAACTTGCAAAGATTATCTTGATATCTTACAACTCTTTGTTGAACACAGATCTTAATTTTTCAGATTTTCCAAAAGTCTATGGGAAAAAATACATTAAACACTGAGATAAAATTACTTAGCTAATGAACAATTTTAATTGGTTTAATAACATGAGATAGAGTTGGTTTTCACATTTTAATAACTTTAAAAAAATGTTTTGGTTCATGTCCCAGAGGAGTCGATGACTCGATAACTCGAACCGATTCCATTCGATTAAAAACGAAACGTTGGTCGATTTTGCAAACAGGTTTAACCGATTCACTGAAAAGATCCGATTCAAAATAAAGATTCGTTCACGACTTGGACATCTCGCTATCGTGCGTAACAATGCAGACCAACAAATTCAAATCCATTCGATCTTTATGATGTGTTTGATTAAAAACAGACTGTTTAGGCAGAAGATTTTAAAACACCAATCAGATTGATGGCAGAAGCACAGCGCTGTTCAGATCCAAGATGTGGACTTCCCTGACTTTAATTTTTAACACGCGTGCAGCCCTTCACATATAAATAAACTATTATTATTATTATAAAACACATACTATTGAAGTGTAAATAAGACGTGAGGCCGCAGCAGTTCGCAACACTCGTCAATAACAACAGCAACCAAACAGCCATACTCTAAACAAAGACGTGTAAAACAACCATAAAACATAGATATAGCGATTTTATCTGCGTAGTAACTACATACCTGTTATATAACGCTAACATAGAGTGAAATTCGCAGAGTAGAATGTTGATGCAAGCTAGTGTAAAAAACAAAGCTACTTACTCTTGGTGAACAGAAGCAGACTGCCACAGTGCACGTTCCCAATCCGTCCCGTTTTCCGATTTTATCATAAATATAAACACTACTTGCTCATTTTCGCTGGATTTATAAGACCATTCACATCGGCATGCATCATCTCCATCGACAAAGATTTGGTACCGGTCGGCGTGTTCATGCCTTAGCACCTGAAATCCCACAGAAAGAGATCTAGCAGTGTGTTGTTGTGTATGGGGATGAATCAAAGAGATGGGAAAAAATCTGTCACAGCCAGAATCAGTGTGGGGGAACAAAGAGCCACACGGCCGCCTAGTGTAAAGAGAGTGGAATTACACCCACTGAGCACAAATAGAAAAAAAACATCAAGACTGCTGGGACATGTTTGAAAGAATTAGAATGAATATAATTATGTATGGCTAAAGAAGAATATGAATTAAGTAGGAATAACTAAGTTTACATTAAAAGTAATACAATGAAGTCCACATATTTTGTAATGTTTTAATTACCTGTACTTACACGTGTTACATGCAGACCTGTTTGAAAAAATATATAAAATATATTTAGTAAATTTCATTAAAAAAATAAACAAATGTACATTTTAAGTAATACTGTAAAGAGTACAAACACACACACACACACACACACACACACACACACACGCACACACACACACACACACACACACACACACACACACACACACACACACACACACACACACACACACACACACATATTTATTTGAATTCTTTGTACTTAGGTGTTCATTTTTCAAATACATATCATTTGCATTAGTTTAATTATTTATATTGTATAAAAGTGTTGTACTCAGCTTGTATTTATAAATAAGTGATTATCTGCATTGCACTTCTTTAAAAACATTACAGACAATAAAATATAGAGATCCTGTCCTTGCACTAAAACTAAATCTTTCTCTAATGATCCTCAGTATGACATCCATTTTGCCAAGTTTTTTTTTTTTTAAATGGTTGTGTAACAGGAATTATATCCAACAATAACACTAAAAATACTTTACTATTGATTTGCATCAACTGCATTGATTGCACTTTGTACCATAACATAGGTTTACAGATAGCAAACCTAGTTTACATTTCATCATTATTATTGCTCATGGCATTAGAAGACACAATATGACATGAATATGAATATTACATTTTGTCATTCTATATGTTGTTGATTCACTAATATTGTTTGTCAGCTCTAAATGAGATTGAGTTTAGTATTGATGGATGGATGCCTTTAAATCCATATGACATTTCCATAAACAAACATAGAGGACACATGAAAGCAGTGTGACGCTGTATGGTCAGATGCACTATACATCAATTGTATATTATCGTTCAAAAGTCTGGATTTTATTTGCTCACAAGGCTGCTTTTATTTGACCAAAAATACAATAAAAACAGTAATATTGCAAATAAATTATTGCAATTGAAGTGAACTGTTGTTCAATGTAATTTATTCCTGAAGGCAAAGCTGAATTTTTCAGAATCATTACTCCAATCTTCAGTGTCAAAAGATCCTTCATAAATTATTTATATGCTGATTTGATGCACTTATGAATGTTAAAAAACGGTTCTTGATATATAAAGAACAGCGTTTATATTTGTATGTAACAAATACCTTTACTGTCACTTTTAATCAGTTTAAAATGTGTTCTTTCTGAATAGCTTACTGATCCCAAAGTTATGAACAGAAATATAAAAATTGATTATAAATTATTTAAGAATACTCAGTTTGACAATGTCCAAGTAAGATTATACTAGTGAAGTGATGCGAATACACATTTTTGTTTGCTGTTAGATTGCTGTGCTATTAAATCAATTTGCAATATCAAAAGCTTTCAGAGAATGAGGCAAATCATACTTGACATTTTTCTTTTATTTAGACAACCCAAATAAAAGGCACATAAAACATTGCGCAACGTGTTTACATAATTATTCTTGACATACACTTTAAAAAAAAAATGTAGGAATGTTTTTTTTTTACCTTTCTGCTAACCAAAAAAGCCTAGTCTTCGTATATACAAAATTACCAATGTTAATGTTCTAATACAAAAGGTCTTATAAAAGGTTATTTTCCTTGCATGTGTCTATCATAACTACCACGTTCTCTGAGCTAAATGTTTTTGTACAAAGATATACATTCATTGGCCTTCACATGGGTTTGCCAATTTAATCAAAGAGGACTTGAAAGGACTGGACTCATTTTAAACTATCCAATCCAAAACCAAACACAAAGTCTTGTCTCGATTTTCCCCCCATTACTGTTCTTTAAAAGATACTGATGCATAAGGAGTAACTTCATTAGCAATACTTTATAGGATATAAAAAAAAATAACAAGATTCTCAATTCCTCAAACATGGCAACTTGATATTTCATATGCAAAATAGATTCTAAATCTCCACACACATTTGGTAAACAGTTAAACTGCAGTTGGCCGCCTAGTTGTTTCCATCGCTGAGCACTGCTCGTCTTGTCAGAGAGAAGACTGATGTGTTTCACGGTGGCATTTTCAGACATGCAGTTCAGGCACGGAAGTGACGCCATTGCGGAAGGACACACATTTAATCACGAGTACAATTAAAAACACTTTCTTTCTTTTTTTTGTTGTTGTTGTTGTAGTGTTTTCAGTCACATTCCTCAAATTCCAGTTCACAAACCTCATCCGAAATAATCCGCCTCGACTAAAGGCAACATTTAAAACAAACGGAACGAAAAATTAAATAGGCCATTAAGTTATTTTAGCTTTCGCATGCCTACATGTAAGTCCATGTAATACTAACTTTGGATAGTGTATCCAAAAATGAACATGCTGTCAATAATTACTCACCCTCACGTTGTTTCAACCCCGTAAGACTTTCGTTCACCTTCGCAACACAAATTCCCTCCATAGGCCTCTAAGGGATTGAAAATATCTTAACTTGTGTTCCGAAAATCTTACGGGGTTGGAACGACATGAGGGGGAGTAATTTTCATTTTTGGGTGAAATAACCCTTTAAGACCACAAATGTTTTTTTCTACCAGATCAACTCTGGTTGGGAAACACTGGGGGTGTGAGTTAATACAAACTAAACCCTTTTTCAGCAATTTACACCCAGACGGTGGTAGCTATGACATCATCAGTTAAAGTACGATCACATTCAGCTGGTTTTACTCTTTGTTTGAGACTCATTCACATTACACAAGCGCACGCAAGCCCAGTTTAGAGGGTAACACGTGTCAACATACCTTGCATCAGTTTCCCCATATCATAACACATAAAATGGGCTGGCAGCTGGTCTGAGAAAGGCATATTGCTTTTATATATCCCACTCAGAGAGGAAATCGAAGAGAAAAGCTAGTTTGGGGATAATTGCGGTGGCCGATTCTGTTATTTTGAACAGGGTTACTCAGAACAAGATGACAAACCCTGACAATTTGAAGGCAGTTTTGGTTTTCACTGTGACTGGGGTAAACAAACAGCAACAGAGGTCAACTTAATGCTCCTGTAACGGACGATCACGTCAACAGCTAAAGAGTATTTGGCACCTCGACCTCTTGAGGTGCGTCTCAGTATTCGACCGATGAAGGAAACAACGTTTAGTGTGATAATTGCTCAGGCCTGGAAGAAAGCGTTAGGCATGATTCTGTACACTACAGGAGCAGAGTAAGTTGGGACACCCTCAGCATATTTCCTGAGCAAAAGGTCCTAAGGAAAAAACAGCCCTCGTCCTTCAGAAAGGAAGAGCAGAGACGTCACGGCTACAAAACTAAATGCTCTTAAGAGAAGATTCAGGATAAAAATTGACCTTTCAGTGTTGAAGTCGGCCACTTGGTGACCAGGCATCTATATGAACGCTCAAAATATTTGATCTAAGATAATACTGCCGTCAGAATAGTCACTAAAGAGATATGTGTTCAGTGCAAGAGTTCATCAGATTGTTACTGTAAATGTTCAACCCCACTAAGCAGAAGAATATCCCAGCTATTGAAACAGAATGCAATTATTCTACAATCAAGAATGACCAACTGCAAAGATTACCTATAAAAAATAATAATAATAATAATAATAAACACAGCTACAGATTAAAAGGCTTACAACATAAGGAGGCCTTTTAAAAACGTATTCTACATTTTAGTTTTCCTCATTTGTAGAGTATTGTCTCAAAAATAACAAAAAAAACCTCTCATCTTCTATTATTTGAAGCCACTGTCCCTTTTGTTGTACGTGACTCCTTAAAATGCATAAAACTATGAAATACTGATAAGCAAGCTAACGTAACAAAAATAAAATCCTCACAGTTAATATTTGCCAAAGTCCTTAAACCGTTAACGCTAACAATGAAGCGGCAACGTGCTCCACTTCAAACAGTCGACTGGCAAGGATTTTCTGGCACTAGAAAAGTGAAATCACCAAACATACAGCATGTCAGTCTTCCACTCCATGCAATAACTATTTTTTTTTTCTGTCCGTCACTAAACTCTAGACAATCTGGATCTGCTGCTCTCTCAGCCGAGCAAAGTGCCGGCTAACTTCCACATGATTCCTTGCCGCTGCGAACTGTTGTTTTCCTAGACTCGCCATTCCTCCAGGCTCATTTTCCCTCACAGCTGGAGAGGAAGACTATAACAGGAGACATGAGGTTTACGAGGAGAGGCGTTCGGTTCTACCAGGGCGGGGAGGAAGGCAGGACTTGCGAGAGGAAAGGCATGCTTTCCATCGGCCTCATGGCGATATTGAGCGGACCGGTGATGTTCATTGACATGGGAGAAGTGATGGCGACGGGATGGGCGATGTTCATGGGCCCCGTGGCTGGGATGTTGACCGAGGCGATGTTGACGGGAGTAGTGATGGTGACAGGGTGCTGAAGGCTGACAGGGGAGGTGATATTGACTGTGTTGGTGGTGATGTTCATCTGGGCGGCGATGGTGACGGGGTTGCTTGCGGTGCCGCGGTTCATGGCCGTAGTGTTGGATGCGGTTGAAGCAGTGACTGACGTGATTGAGGCAGAGTTGCACACGTTGTTAGAGTCTAGCCAAAAAAGGTGGGAAAGAAGAGAGTCAATAAAACATTGAAATGATTTCTAGGGTTTCACTATGGGCAAGACCAACAACACAAGGGTTCATCAATAAGGATGGCCCAGGGTCAGTGTCAGAGTGTTTCAGGCTAGGTGTACCATGTTGCCACTGAAAATTTGACATTAATTGATAGTGTGATTTTATGCCCTCAGAATGTAAACAGTTTGTTTACTGTGAGATATTCTACGCTTTTGTGGCAAATTCTGCCGATATATTCATCACTAAATTTTAATCAAAGTGGCCAACATATGAGATTGTCATTAGTTAAAAAAAAAAACATTATTAATGTTTTGCATTCCATAGTACTATATACTATATTTTCTCATTTTTTCCTTTACAAAAAAGAATTTACAACAAACCTATTTTTTTACATTTAAAAAATCTTTTTATGAAAAATATACTATTAATTGGAAAAATAAAAATACATTGTTAAAAAGAAATGATTCTAAAGAAAAAAAAATACTTTAGAAAAAAGCGGAATTTGTTTTTGTAAAAATGTAACATGAAAAATATACTGAAGAAATCTGAAAAAAAATTAAAGAAAATAATAATAATTGAAATAATTTAAAATAATAATAAATTGAGCCCTGACTGTCTTATTTTGATTCACCTCTACAAATATCTAACATTCACAGTAGACAGTTGACTTGTGAACTTTAAAAGACCAAGTTAGGGGGGAGGGAAGACGGCTTTTAGGCTTTTTTAGAGGACATTTGAAAATTGTTGCAGAATACCTTTGTTACAGGGGGATGTGAAGCCCGCCTGTCCGTGGGTCTTGAGGTGGCTGGTGATGTAGGCGGCACTCAGCATCTTCCCGCAGATATTGCAGGTAACCTTGCCTTCGTGTCGTATCATGTGTGAACGTAGACGATCTTTGGTGGCAAAGGCGGACGTGCAGGCCTGTAGTGGAAAGACAAATCAGGGTGAAAGGAGAGTGATAGACCAATGAAACTCACAAAGAGAGCATGGGACATGTGATCTCATGTTACTTAGCAGAGATGAAAATGTTTTTCTGTAAAAATGTAACATTATACATAATTATAAAAAGACATCGTTAAAGAAAAAAATGTTTCCAAAGATTTTTTTTTAATTTTCTTTGCAAGAAAATATTACTCAAATATTATTTTTGTATCTTTTGTGAAAATGTAACCTTTTATGACAAATATAAATATGATTTTTTGTAAAAATATAATGTTAATAATTTTTTTTTTCATTTGTTGTTTTTTGTAAAAAAAAAAAAAAAAACATTTTATGAAAAATAAATATATATTATTTCTAGTTAATATTAGAATATTATTAGTACAAAAATTGTGGCTCTTTTGTGAAAATGTTAACTTTTTACAGATAAATATAAATAGTATTTCTAGTAAATATAAAAATACATTGTTAAATAATGTTTCTAAATAACTTTTTTGTGAGAGTAACATTTTATAACATTTAAACAAATAATATTTCTAGTAAATATATTTTATGAAATAATATTTTTATGAAAAACAAAATGTTATTTATAGTAAATATAAAAATACATTGTTAAATACAAATGATTATAAATAATATTTTTTTTTACATTTTCTTTGTAAATAAAAAAGTGGATTTTTATTTTATTTAAATCTAGCATTTTATGAAAAATATAAATATTAATGTGCAGACATACCGTTACTTGGCATTTAAAGGGTCGTTCTGTGGAGTGCACATGCTTGACATGACAACTAAGATGATCCGGCCTGTTGGAGAAGAAGTTACATACAATAAAACCAACTTCAAAGTACATGCAAGACATATTAAACAGTTTTTTTTTTCAAGAGACCCAGAAACAAAATAACGTTGCTATTAAATCAATAGTGAATTGCTGAACCTACCGCGAGAAGCCTTTCCCACAAACGGAGCAGATATACGGCTTGTGCACGCCGCCGTCGTGCGAGCGCACGTGGTACGTCATGCGGTCCTTCCTCTTGAAGCGCTGGTGACAGATGGGGCATTCGAAGGGCTTCTCGTCCGAGTGCGAGAGCTTGTGGCGGTTGAGGTGGTAGACGTCACGGAAGGCCTTGCCGCACATCTCGCAGCCGTGATTCTTCTTCACAGGTTTGGGGGGTTTTTTGGGCACGGCCGGCTGCTGCTGCTGAGGCAGGACTGACATGATGCCTGCGGCCGTGGACGCAGAGGTGGTGGCCGTGGTAAGGATGCCCGCCATCGTAGAGACGTAGGAGGGGTTGCCGTTGTTGTCGCGTGGCACAGTGGAGATGAGAGGCACCATGGTGGGCGCTGTGGTTGTCTTCTTGGGCCGTGACACCATCTTAATGCCCGTGTGACAGGACTCGTGCCGCCGGAGGTGGTAGCTGTCCCGAAAGGCCTTGTTACAGTAGCCGCATATGAAGGGCGTCTTCGACTTGGGCTCCTTCTTTATAACCACCGGACCACCGCCGCCACCACCTCCTCCTCCTCCTCCCCCTCCACCTGTCCCGCCGCCCATGTTGTCTTTGAGGAGGTCAGCCGCACTGACAGGGGGCTTCTGGTCGAGCGGAATGGGAAGAACAGGCTTTTGATCCAGCGGCTCAGAGTTGAGCAGAGGCAGAAGACTGTTCTGCGAGACCTGATGCTGGTGGTGGAGGGCTTCATTGGCCTGCTGGAATAGAGGAAGAAAAGACTTTATTTCATTGAAGCTTTTAGACATAAAACAAAACAAAAACTATTGCTACATTAATATAAAGTATACTTCAAAAGTTTGAGGTCGGTATGATTTTTTTTAACGCATGTTAAAAGAAGTTCTTGTCTTATGCTCAATAAGACTGAATTTATTTGATCAAATGGAAAACTGCCAAAATATTTTCTATTTGAATGCATTTAAAAATTGTATTTATTTCTGTGATGACAAAGCTGAATTTTCAGTATCATTACTTGTTTTCGGTGTCACATTATGCTTCAGAATTCATTCTAATTGGCTGATTAGAAACATTTCTTATTATTATCAATGTTGAAAACTGTCGCACTACTTAATATGTTTGAGAAAACCTTTTGAAAAATTATAAAAACTCTTGAACTTTCATCAATTTTTTTTCTAAATTAAATTCGCCTGTAATAAAACCTGACTGTAAAAAAAAAATTGATTTGAACACACGGTGCAAATTCATAGCCCTAGTTGTGTGAATCGACTGGCTGTGATATTATGGGCCAGTTTTGTTATTGGCCAGTATGAAGTAGACACGACATCAGCTGAGACACGGTGTTAAATGTTTAGCAAAAATAGAAACCGACTCATTTCCAGGGCATCTGTGCAACTTGGAAAACAAGAGAAGCCCTGACTGGGACCTAGCAGGGAGACGAGTCAGCTGTTCAGCAAAGTGCAGGATGACTAATGAGATATTGGAGAGAGTGAGAAAGCTAGACAGAAAGTGAAGGAGAGAGAGAATGAGAAGGAACTATAATTTATTTAGATGTAAGAGAATATGCTGAAAACTGTCCATAAAAAGCAACCTACTCTTCAAGAAAACAGCAACAAACTTCAAGAGGAGAAAAAGCAGATGCATAAAAAAGTCATTTTTGGCCAACCGAATCCTCGTGTGACTAATAGGAATTTATAGATCACGTTAGGGCAAGAAGCAAATGTGCAGACGTGTGTATCATATCAGAGACTCGAGCGCTTTTGCAAAAGAAACTGCCTGCATGCATAAATCTACTGCATGTAAAATAATCTGTGTCTGTAATGAAAGCAGTTTCTCATGTGACTAGCCTCACAGCCTCGGGTCAGGACACTCTTCTAAACTTACATATCATAAACAACAACGACTGCAATACACATATAGTGAGATTACATGGTCAGTGGAGCAGGTTTGAAGGCAGAATGTTCATATGATGGCTCTTATCCATATAATGAAAGCCACCGGTCAAGCTCCAAAACTGACCAAAAGAACTGTAAAAATATTTAATGTATTCCATAAATGCAGTTCTCAAATCTCATTTGCGCATTCAAACATGGCAAATAAAGACATGCATGTTTAAATATGTGGAAGTACAAATGACATTTGAGAGCTATTATATATATACACCTTTAATAAAAACAAAACAAATATAGTGCAAGGCTACTATTACAGCATTTTCAATTCATTTTTGGATCATGACAGTGTCTGTATGCACTTACTTTAATTGTAAAAGGGCAACACAAAAAAATCTTTTAAACTTATGTAGTGCTCCACAAAAGACAGAATTAGGGATGTACCGATATTTCGGCCGCCGAAAACAAGTGGTACTCACTGCAGAGTCAAATGACGTCCAACTCCTCCTCTCTGGACGTCTAATGGGGTGGGGATAGTCCAGATCCACCTCTCTGAATGTCTAATGGGGTGGAGGGATAGAGTTGTGGGTAGGGTTAGGGTTTGGTTGGATATTCTAGCTCCACCCATTAGGCCCAAATTACATTCGCTCCTCCTCGCTGGATATCTAGCGAGAAGGAGCTAGACATAAGCTCCGCCCATTTGTTCTACAGTGAGCAGCCTCTCGCCAAAAAAGGCATTTTCGTTTTTTTGGCCGAAAGAGACAAAAAAATACATGCTGCCTCGCCCCTCATTGATCAGTTGAGCAACACTGGTAAAAAGACGCTACAACCTCGTTCAGTGATCATCTCCACACTTCTTTGATTCTTTTACTAGATTATCTGTCCAATTTTACTGTTACTTTAAATAAAATACATTTTTATTGACTTGTTTAAGAAAAATCCTTATCATTAAAATGCTTGATTTTCGTCAAAAGTTTAATATTAATACAATTGCGCAAAAAAAGCTAATTTAAAATAATAAATAAAACATTTTAAAAAACATTTTTGGTTTTCAGCCAAGTTTCAGAATGTTTGGTTTCGGCCCCAGAATTTTGTTAAAAATTACGAGAATTATATTTTTGGGGTGAAGTGAACCATTAAATACCTCATTAGATAGCAAAAGAAAAACAAATGCTTTCAGTGTTGGCCAAAATTTGTTACAGGTAAAGGAACAACAACAGGACATGCTTCTAAATTAAAGATACAGTCAACGAATAGTCATAGTTATATATATATATATATATATATATATATATATATATATATATATATATATTAGGGCTGTCAAACGATTAATCGCATCCAAAATAAAAGTTTGTGTTTACATAATATGTGGGTGCACTGTGTATAATTATTTTGTATATATATATATATATATATATATATATATATAAACACATGCATGTATATTTAAGAAAAAAAATATTGTTTATATATAAAATATTGATATTTATGTATAAATCTATATACAGTATATACATGAAAATATTTTTTACATATATACAAGCATGTGTGTGTATTTATATATATAAAATAATTATACACAGTGCACCCACAAATATTATGTAAAGACAAACTTTTATTTTGGATGCGATTAATCGCTTGACAGCCCTAATATATATATATATATATATATATATATATATATATATATATATATATATATATATATAAAATAATAGTTAACAGTTATATTTTATCCACAAATGGCTGAATCAGCAAAAACGAGAAAAGAAAAATCTGTAACGAAACAAAGTGGTATAATCACAGCAACAAATCAAACACTGCAACATAAAAACAATACTATTAAAATAAAATAATTATAAATATATAAAAATTGTAAACTAAAAATGTAAGAAAGCTTAAGTATTAAGCTTAAAATGAAAAATAAGTGAGTGGAGGTCATAACTTGCTCATTAGGTGCGTGTGGGGGGGAACCCTAAAACAAGAGCAGCTGAAAGACTACACGACTATTAGGCTCCCCATTCTGCAGCTGCCTGCATTGTCCCATTGGTCACGGCATGCAGTTGGTGGGTGGGGGTGGCCATTCACAAACACAATTGTGCCTCTGAGGAAATATAGTAAAGCCTACAGTAACGAGAGACCTGCAGGCTGGGCCTGCCTCCAACGCCGGCTGGGGAAACGCTATAAACGTTAAACCTTGAAGGCTTACATATTCTAAAAGCATAAAAGAACATACAAGTTTTGATTTTGGTTTATACCTAAAATCCCCATAGGAGGTCTTTGTGAGCTGATTAGGTGATCTGGCTCTACAAAGTGTGCTATTAAACAGGATACAGCTGCTTTGAAGTCTGGATGATTTGAACACTTTTAATCCAGCATTATTTGGTATGGATTGGATTCTTGTACTTTTAGTGACATGGTTCTAGAGTATATAGATATAGCTAAAATGTATGGACCCATTCAAGCAGCAATACACGTTCAAACCATGACAGCAACCTGCTCTTCATGCTGCTTGGATGCTTTTGACACAAATTCGCATTGAAGGCTGAGGTCACGCCAATAAAAAATAATACAGAGGTTGAGCAGTGCACATAACCTGCTCCTGCAGACCAATATGTGACAAGCATGACTAAAAGCAAAATGAAACCTGAAGCAAATTTATTGCATTTAAAATGTGGTGCTATTGTGAGTCTATATTTAAATGATGGTATTGGATTGCTAAACAGGTTAATCCGCATTGTGACAGGCATAATGTAGAAATTGGACAAGACTGTGACTGTAGGTCACTGATCTACAGCACAAACTTTAGCCATAATCTGTGAAGATGGCAGATGCACGGATAAATCTGTTTAAGCCTATTAAAGGCCTTGTTGTTGGTGAAATAACAATGATAAAATAAAACATAGGTGGGATACAAAAACTAACATATCTCCTCATGTAACCTGTACAAAACTGCAGGTAAGAGCAAGAGCAAGAGCAGAACTCCTTTACTCCAAAGACAGAACACAGTGAATCAAATTCTTGTTTGCTGCAGACGGATTAAGAGATGCCTGTTGGGAGCTGGACAAAGCCTTGCTCATGAATAACCTCAGACGCCTACAGAACAATGAGGAGTGACGCGCTAGACTGTCGTCTCATTAGATGCCTCATCATCACATGACTGAAATCAAGCAGAACAAATTAAGCACTTTTTTCGTCTACAAACCAAATAACTGATCTCTTATAAAACTGATGAAAGTTTGTAGCTACAAACATAATGCATTATATATTCCACTTGGAAATAAATTTGAGCAAGCTTTTAAGAAACAAACATGGTGTCGTCGTTTATCTCCTAAATGTTCAGCGAACTCTGGTTGTTACTGACAATATCTGGATGAGCAAGTATGGTTAGGCTTTCTCAAAATCAAATATTATGATGATCAGTGCATGTAAGATGTTGGAGGATGGCGAGCCGATTGAAGAAACTTCTAAGAACAGTAGACAAACATGCATAATGCGATCAAGACTTGGCAGCTTGTGAATGAATCAATTAAGGGTTGAAGCGGTCCCAGTTTGACAATAAACCACGATAAAAATTTCCTATTTTTAATTATCACAATTTGAACATTTCACGATAATTACCGTTCAGCATTAAACAAAGATAGCAACAGTCTCACGCAAGTGTTTTGTGTGAAAACATGACGGAAGGCAGAGTGCACATGAAAGAATGTATGCAACTATGAATTAATTACATGAATGTATCTCTAACAGGGAACCAACTGTCTTCAGTAAAGTTTTGATGCCATTTACTTTTCAGCTTCCCTCCATGTTAAGGCAAATAAATTAATTTGATTGCAGAGGTTACAGCTCTATTTGTGCAGTTCCATAAGCACCACCTACTGTCGGAGAGTGGATTTACATTTTCATTCAGCCTGCCTGTCGTTTTTGTTCACACCAATGCGAAAATCAGGCTGCTTTTTGCTGTGAATTAAGCAGCAGATAGAAAATAAGCTAATGTGGATTCTAAAAATCTCAAGTATGCATAAATAGAATAAAATGCTATAATTTATCATTTTGATTCATCTTTTTCACAAAGGTTTTTTTGGGTGTCAAAACTTTACTTGAACATGCAATACATGTTAGATGCTAAATACATGTTATAAGTCACCAAGATTTTTAGCTGCCTCTATCAGTGAGGTTTCAGATTGCAAACTTTTTTTTTTTTTTTTTTTACAAGAGCGTTCGTGCTCGAACACGAGCGTGAGCACCCATGGTACACGGCCACACCGAGACTTTAAACGTTCAACACACCGCAGAAAGCATCACACGACATGCTGGAAACTCATGTAAACTCCTACTGCAATGTTACAATAATAGGCTACTTTTATCAGCTTGACTGAACTAATGCTCCATGCTCATTTCAGTGCAACAGTAAGACCGTAGGAAGTAACATTATTACTGTACTGAACGTGTCTGGAAATGTGTATTGTAAACAATATGATAGTAGTGGTGGGATGAATTAGTGACGTTAGACAGTAGATTTAGTACATAAAATAAAAGTTACATCCTAAACCACCTACTTTTTGTTATCCTGGAACAGTCTTTTGTGTTCATTTCATGTCTCATATATGTTGTAGTTTACCTTTCTATTTCAATACAGTTTACCATTGTTTCAGCATATCTGAAAACTTGTAATTTATCACAATAAAATTAGCGGATGACTCTCCATAATTAAAATGCTATGTCGACGTTGATCCGTGTTTTCGTCCTAAGTCGTTCCGATTCATGTTTGGCCTGACGAGCTTCAGCAGACGCCGAGATTTTTGTTTCGTTTTGTTTTTTCTATTTTTGTGGAGTTTGTGTTGGAGTCTTTGTTGTGCTGGAGGATGGTCTTTTTTGGGTGTTATCAGACTCATGTCGTTAGCTGCAGTGCCGTCGCATTGACTGTATATAAAAGGAGAGAGGCTCGGGAACGCGCATGCACGTCACATCCGATGGATTTCGCAGAAAATCCGACCCGGAGACTTCACATAAAAATAGGAATACTGGCCTTCAGAGGTAATATCAAAACCCGACAAGTGGATCATTGTAATGTGTGATTACAACCCTTTCACACACAGGCATTAAAAAAGGGATTCATTTTAGAAAAAAAAGTTACATTTAGCACCTTTTAATGCTTTGATTTTAATGTTTGTTTAAGTGAATAATGCAGCTAATTTTATTTGACACAAAAATGGTCAAATGATTAGCGTATATAGCCATGTTTCCACCAAAATTACCTAGAACAGTTTGTCACAGGATCTTTTCTCCCAACCAATCAGCATGTTCAGCGACTAAGTCCCACTCCTGAAAGTTCCTGAACTTTAGAAAAGGACTACCTCACGAGCAAGGACTTTCTCTGAGTGGAAATTTTTTACCCGGAACTTCATTTAGACCCTGGTATCTGTGGTCGAAACACATGAAGTACCACCCCAAAATCCCTAGTTCCTGGGGAAAGTTACTGCGGTGGAAACTTGGCTTATCAGTACTTTTTGAACATTTCCAACACATTTTAACAATAGCGCATGATAATATTGATAAATGTGATCATTTTGGACACTATTATTATTAAATTAATATTCATATAATTTAATCTCTAGAATCTATGCTCACAGAAAATGTTAAATCTGATGTTGGAGCTGATTGCAATGGCAAAATGATTTCAGTACATGTCCAATTAAAAATAAGTAAGATTATGACGATGAAGCACACAAGATGCAGTATGCCTTTCCTACAGTTAACATTTTTGGACATGGTCTGCTTCTATTCCAAAAGTATGCATTTTGGCAAACTTTTCTGGAACAAACTTTAAGACTCATAGGGCGCTTCAAATGCATTTCTCTCCCAGGGGAAAAGTCGACAGACAGAAAACACTACTTCCTTGTACCTCTAGAAAAGAAAGCAAAATTGGACTAAGTTTGTCTTGACTACATATAATATTTGGCTTGATCAATAGTTTTTTTTAAGACCAATATTGTTTTTTTTTTTTTTTTTTTGGCTGAATTAGTTTTTGACATTAGTTCCAACAATAAATTGCATGTGGAGCTCTAAAGAATAGCACCCAGTGCATTAAATACAACGATTAGAAACAACCATTTTCACAGCTAAAGTAACTTTAATGTATTGATTGAGAAAAGCATATAATTTAATCTTAACATGTTAGACAGCCCAAACCAAATATGAAAACAAATCTGCAATTTTTAAATAAACCATTTAGATTGCAAAACAACTTTGCATAATCAATACTACTAATCTTAATTTTGAATAAAATAGGTAGCATGATTATTATTGTGTGAAAAAAGCAGAAAAAATACATTTTATAAACACTGATTTTGAATTATATGGGATTGTTATAAAAATTGATAGCCAATTGCTTTATAAGAGTCGAGTAAAAAAAGAGAGTTGCCTGCGGTCACTAACAGCCACTTTTACCATAAACATGCACAGATTCCTCATACACCAACATGCATGCATTGCATTTGTAATATCATTGCAAGTATAATCATTTTATGCATAAAATTATGGATATCAGTAGCCTGAGATAACTAAAACAGATTAAAATTAATTCCAAATGAACATCTTTTTAAAGTTGAACAGAGAATAAAAGTCAAAATTTAAGATGTGTTTTCAAACTTACACTAAACGACTATTCATAACGACTTTAAGAAATCAACCTAGACAAAATTTCACAGTATCATAATAAGAGTTCTATGCAGAATTCTGTCCACAATGTGCAAGTTCTGTAAGATTATGATGTCTAGGTGGGCAGGTCAGAAGGTTTTGAAACACAGCCATTATCCCCATGTTCCCTCCAATAAAAGTAACCAAGGGAGCTGCGTTGACAACAAATAAAAATAAAGAAAATGAAAAGCGATGAAACATAGGAGATCGATAGGGGAAGATAAAATATTAAAAGGCTGTGCCAAAAAAAATGCACCTAAACACCGTATTCTATTATTATACACGCAGACATGGACGTTGCGTCTGGCCAAAACATCCAAATTGTGTCACAAAATCAACGAGTAGCTAGCGTTACCTAAAACTAAGGCATAAGCTGCCAGAGTAAAAGTGTTTAACTTAAGATAAAAAAGGCACGTAAAAAGTGTGAATGGGAAGGAGAGGTGGAAAAGAGGGAAAGAAATCCCCTTTACGTCTCCCTCATAGTTCACAGCTGGAAGTCTGGGGGAGATGCAGCATTAGCGGCTAATATGAGCTAGCTTAGCTACCATTGTTTTTACTGCCTTAAAATCCCGCTTTTAAAGCTTAAATCTCCGCGCTACACGCTGTTTTTAAGAGTCCCGGTCGATTTTCTATTTTTCCCGTGCAGTTGGTATTTATTTCGAACGGCTGGCTTACCTGAAATAAAAATGAACTCCAGCTCGGCTCCATTGCAACACTTAAAAAAATCTGCAGGAAACCTACAAGAAATCTACAACAAAGCAGCTAAACATGGCAGCTGCTACAACTTCCTGTAACCCCGAGGGCCAAACCATTTCATCTGATATACGCTGCTGCTGCTGCTGCTGAGATTCTGCCAGCTCACTCCATCACAGCACTGCACTCACGAACACTTTAGAGCAAAGATACTTTTTATTTGTTATCAAATATTTATTTTAACATTAAACGACTTTTCACACGACAAAGAATGAGCACAATGTGGAAATTAATTATCATACAGCCATACTAAAATGAAAATGTATAGGTGCTATAAAAACATCTGACTCAGAGTAAGATTATTGAAATAGTTAAAACATTACCTCTATGATCTATGCTTCCATCCATCTGTCTGTCTGTCCATCCAGCTATTTCAGTTGTACAGGCAATAGCTTTTTTGCTCCACAGGTTGTTGTAAAATTAAAATTAAACTAGCCCTATATTAATGATAATAAGTAAAAAAAAAAAAAAAAAAAAAACATTAAAATAATACATATGAAATTAGTTAAATTTTACAATGGTGCTAAAGGAAGACCTTAATGAACATTGATAAAGCAACATATTTGTGTGAGTTTTTATTTTATAAAAGTTGTTAATTTTGTTTTAAATTATTATGAATGTATCAAAAAAAAAAAATCAAACCCTGTTGTTCTCTATAAATGTTGAACCAAATATAGTAGTAAGAAATACTCAAAATACTACAAATAATACATTCTGTTTTGGTTTGCACGGAGTGAAAGAACCAAATGCAAAATATGTATATGGAGTAATCAAGGCAGATATTGTGACTCGGGCAGATGGTGCATCTGTCTGTCTTGCTGTATTGCAGTATTTATTTGCTATAATAGTATTTCCATCCTACAGAAACCCAAATGGTGAAACGTTATGTTGTGTTTATAATACATTTCAACATTATAGGAGCCAGAGTTGACTCCATTCAATATGAAAAAGATGAGTGTAATAGGTCAGTACTTACTTTACATTTGGATAATTTCATATTATAGCATGTGTGTTTAAAGATTTATCGTGCTGAAGAACAATATTTCATCAGCTTTCACATATTCAGAGCAGGTATGACAAAATCTCTCATGAATTAGCATTGTTTGCCCTTTCCAGCAGGTTCTTTTAAACAATTTGTTTGACTGTTCAGGGACATTCATAGATGTTGCATCCCATTGTATTTTGAAATCTTTGTGACATTGTACATTGGGACGCTTTGTCTGAATACAGTACAATGAGGGTTTTGGATGGATGCCTGTGGTCAGCCCATTTCACCCAGCTCTCACATTGAGGTCCTTTCCCAGTGACAAACAGCCCTTTTTCAAATGTAGCAATGAAATTGCTCATTTTGTCAAAGTTGAATGGAAAAAACACAAATTAAACAAAGGTAAGTGATTTTTCTTGTCTATTTTAGTATGTGCATCAATGTAATGGTCAAGATTTTGTACAATTTCACTAAATGATTGAGCCATTTTATGCACATTGATTGACCTAAATTATATAACAATGCAAAGAGATAAATTACAAAAAAAAAATATATATGCATGATGAAGAAATACAAATATCAACATGTTGGGCATCACCAACCAAAAGTTTGTGAAAAATTGTAATAATTTGCATAAACAGTAGATTATTTGACTCCGTTAAGAAAAAATAATTTTACTTAATATATATTAGAAGACACAGTATCTGCCTTTTTCACTGTTTCCTAATTTTCTCCAGATTAAAAAATGGGGGACTGGTCTATTCTGGGCCGCTTTCTAACAGAGGTTCAGAATCATTCGACGGTCATCGGTAAGATCTGGCTGACTGTGCTCCTGATCTTTCGCATACTGCTGGTGACCCTGGTGGGAGATGCCGTGTACAGTGACGAGCAGTCCAAGTTCACCTGCAATACACTGCAGCCTGGTTGCAACAACGTCTGCTATGACACTTTCGCGCCCGTCTCACATTTGCGCTTTTGGGTCTTCCAAATTGTGCTGGTCTCAACGCCCTCCATCTTCTACATCATCTACGTGCTGCACAAAATCACCAAAGACGAGAAGCTGGAGACGGAGAAGGTCCAGGCGGAGGCCAAGCACCCTGGGCGGCCGGAAGACAAGAGTGTCAAACTGGCATATGGACCCCGGGGAGAAGAATGGGCTGGTCAGGATGAGGAAAGTGTGGAGCAAAGTCTACTGCAGGATGATTTCGGTGAGGTCAGCAAGGACCCAACCACACTCTCCAGTCAGGTTCTCCTCATCTACATTGTTCATGTCCTGATTCGCTCCGTCCTTGAGATCACGTTTCTCGTTGGTCAGTACTACCTGTTCGGATTTGAGGTGCCTCATTTGTTCCGCTGTGAAACATACCCTTGCCCTACACGGACTGATTGTTTTGTGTCTCGAGCCACCGAAAAGACTATTTTCCTTAATTTTATGTTTAGTATCAGCCTGGGTTGTTTTCTCTTGAACATTGTGGAGCTTCACTACCTCGGCTGGATCTACATTTTCCGCATGTTGTGTGCCGCCTGCTTTCTGTGCTGCAAGCCAGAGAAGGAGCTGTACCCTCAACACAAACCTTTTTTGCTACGCCTCAGACACTCGATGAGGAGCAGGCTGGTCCTGCAGTCACCAACAACCACCCTGTCTCAGGAGAAGACGGGGACGGCTTTGCTTTCACACGGCCCAGCCATCTCGTTCGAGACCGACTCTACACTTGAGTGCACCTCAAAGAGAAACCCAGAGGAGAGGGAACGCATGAGGCTGAAATTGGCCAATATGGCTAGATTCACTGGCAAAAAGTCCTGGTTGTAATGTGTACTGATGGTTTTAAATTCTCGTCACATAAGCTAGTTGTACATTTCATGATTCAGAGGCCTGTTTTATTTATTTTGGGGGCCATTTGAATAAGGTACAGCTTTTACAATGTATGCGGTGGTGCTGCGTCCCCAAAGAAACACTGAAAGTAAACGTTAAGGGCATTATATGCTGAAATCAGCAGAAAACAGAACGAAAGTGCTCACATTTTAATTTGAAAAATAAAGTTACATTTATTTATCATAAACATAAGAGCAACATACAATGATCTATTACTTGCACACTATGAAAAGTCTGTAAAAATTAAGCCTGACGTACTGTTATGAGGACATTTTCTGCATTGTTTTTTTTTTTACACAGGTGTTTTACTCATTTTAGGACATCCTTTTTTAAATTTTTATTTGTTTATTTTTTTATAAAAGTGTAGTAACCCAGGCAGGAATCAGTTTGAAGCTCAGGATGTATAAAAAATGACTTTTCAGTGATGAAATATCTGTTGTCTGCTAAGCAGAATTGTTGTTGTGTTGTTATGTTCTGTGCCATTTGGTGTTTGATTCAAATGCTTTAAATGCTTGACCTACAACAATTCCACCCTTTTAGAGCAATTATTTTTAAATCAAGATAAGCACCTTTCAAAAACTTTGAAATGTCATAAAAATGAATATTATACTTCAAAATGTCAGAATTTGATCATCAAATTATAAATGTACATTATCTACTTAATTGTGTGAATACTTGACTGTTATTTCATTAATGCGATCCATGAAATAATGATCCATGATTTATTGTTTATTTTCTTTTAGATTCTGAGACAGGTGTATTGCCATGCACAACAACTCTTGGACCAGAGCTATATCTGCACATGTAATAATTAGCACATGGTTGATGTGAGTGTTCATTTCGCTTGCAGTGCAAAAGCTTCTGTATATGCACTGCACAGTGAGAGTGCAGAATTGCTTGATTACCATATGTAAATGAAGCTCAATACAATCAGAAGGTGCTTCTATACTAAGAAAAAGAGAAATGCATTTTTATTTTTTTTTAGAAAATGAAAAGTAAATATATTTTAAGCTGAACTTCTCTTATATTTCATAGTACTGTTTTATTTTAAAAAAAAATGTTGATAGTATCAGACATTTATACACTACAATGCAAACATGCTAAAGTTTGGGGTCAGTAAGATTTAAAAAATTTATACTTTTATTCATCCATACTCATCAAAAGAGGCAAAAACAAAATCATAATTGATCCATTTCTGATGGATCATGTGACACTGAAGTAATGGCTGCTGAAAATTCTGGTTTTCCATCACAGGAATAAATTATATTTTAAAATATATTAAAGTGTAAAACAGTTATTTTAAATTGTAATAACATTTCATTATATTACTGATTTTACATGTTTTTATCAAATGAATACAGCCTTATAAGCATAAGAAGCTTCTTTTGAAACTTTTGAAAGTAGTGTATATTTATAGGTTTTTTTCCCATCACCAAAAGGATGAAAGAGCATTTAACCTAAAACAATGCATGCATGATCAGAAAATGATTTCCAGAAACATTTCCAAATGCATCTTCATTAGCGTATTGGGATGTGGAAACGTAAAGTCAACAGCTTATTTTACATTTAAAATGAAAAAGATAGTAAAGGGGGAACAAAAACACAGAACAATAAACAAAAAAAATATGGATTTTCATATTACCCTGAATTTTAATGATATTGAGTACTAGCAACAAGAGCTGACCTCCTCAGCTGACTTCTCTCCACCTGGCCATAGGGGGGCACTGTTTATTTTGGATCCCATTTTGACAGTTTCATTCTGAACACGCTCTGTCCCGACCCTCTTCTGGATTTCAGAGGCCATTGTTAAAAATGCCTTCTCTACGTTGTTTGCATTCTTGGCACTTGTCTCCAAGAATGGAATTTTGAGTGACTCAGCAAATTCCTGAAAAGTACAAATTAAATGTAATATATATACATTTAGAACAGACCTCAGCATGAATTTGCATAAGCAGAGAGCTTACCTTTGCTGTGGTAAAGTCTACCACCTTTTTTGAGGAAAGGTCACACTTGTTACCGACTAGCAACTTGGAGACATTTTCACATGCATAGCGATCAATTTCTTCTAACCATTGCTTCACATTGTTGAAAGACTCCTGTATAAACAAAGTATTTTGTTAATTATTATTATTAAGCATTTCTCTACACACAAAATGCTAAAAAAAAAAAACCTTCTGTAATATTCAAAAGTATTACCTGCTCAGTGACATCATAGACAATTATAATCCCATGAGCCCCTCGATAATAGCTGGATGTTATTGTTCGAAATCGCTCTTGCCCTGCTGTATCCCACTTCAGGACGAAAAAAAAGCAAAATATTGTTTGCAAAACTTTGATGAGATGACAATCCTCATGCAGGCATTTAGGATTTGCTCTAATGCATTGGTCACCAAACTACGGCCTGCCACCCCCCTTGACTGCCCCCCCTCCAGCCCCGCAGCCCCCCACAACCTGAACCGGCCCAATGAGGCAATCCCCAAAAGTCGTCATGGCCTATTTTTTGAAATTGCTTTTTGTTCTATTACTCATGGTATTATAATTGTAGTGTTTTTTTTTTTTTGGGGGGGGGGGGGGGGGGCTGTCAAACACTGTGTATAATTATTTTGTATATATAAAAATAGACATAGATGCATGTATATTTAAGAAAAACTTATTATTTATATATAAAATATTTATATTTATATATGATATAAATTATATATAAATATACAGTATATATATGCAAATATTTCTTAAATATATACAAGCATGTGTGTGTATTTATATATAAAATAATTATACACAGTGCACCCACATATATTATGTAAACACAACCTTTTATTTTGGATGTGATTAATCGTTTGAAAGCCCTTTTTTAATAATTAATTCATTTATTTTATAGGCCTGTGCTGCACACAATTGTTATTAATATTATTATTAATATCAACAGGCCTACCTATAATTTAGAATTTTTCACTCACCTTTGCCAGTGTTAATCACCTCAACTAGGCAGATGTTTCTTACCTTGAAAGCTTTGTTGTTATTTTTATTTGAAAATAAATAAATGGAATATCTGTGGTATTTAGAAAAAGGTTTGGTGAACCCTGCTCTAATGGGACCAACCCAAGTAATTGGATAGTCATTTCAGTAAAAAATAATTGGCAAATGATCAATTATTGTCACTATATGATGATGATTAGATTTAAAATTTTTCTGTTCCAAAGGGGTTTGTTTAAAACAGAACTAATAACTGGATCAAACAAACTAAAAAAGCAAACTTGAATATGAATTTAAATACATTTCTATACTCACAATCTGCAGTTTAACAGTCTTCCCCTCCATTTCAATAGTTCTGATCTTGAAATCAACCCCAATAGTGCTGATGTAGCTCTCTGTATAGGTGTCATCCTGGTGAAATAAATGTGTTTCATCAACAGAAGAATCAACTTATTATGCTTTAAATGAAAAAAAAAAAAAAAAGACTATAGATTTGAAATGCCATGAGTAAATAACATAGAATTTAGATTTTGCGGTGAACTGGTGTAATTGAATTATTGGATGACACCAATCACTGAAAAAATGATTTTGCTTACAGCAAACCGTAGGAGTAAACATGACTTTCCCACACCAGAGTCCCCAATCAGCAGCAATTTGAACAGGTAGTCACTGAAAAAAACAAAAAAACCCAATCATATTATTAAAATTGTTACTCTACTGGTGTTCATGCTCAATGCAAGCTCCATTTACTCATTCATTATGGGCACAATAGATACTGTACTGGCATTAAAGGCAGATAGAGGCCATTATTCTTCTATAGTCATTGTTGTAATTGAAGAAAGTCTGTTGACCGTTAGCAACATTCTTTAAAAGAAACAACTACTTACTACTCAGGATTCATCCTCTGGTTAATGGATTGCAGAATGCTGTACAGAAGTGCTTTTAGCTTGTTTATCTTTGTTCAGCGGTGTTCTGTCCTTGGAAATGCAAACAGCAACAACCGTGGCAATAGTGAACCCAGATACTGCTCCATCATTTATTAAAGCCTCTGATCAGGTTACGAAGTGGCCATTACCTGTTTCTTAAAGTTGCAGCCTAGTAGCGACAACAAGTGTTCAAGGCATGGCACACAGAAAAAGCATGTTGATAAAGTCTAAACAACTTCTGAAGATTAAACCTACCTGTAAAATTAATTATATAACCAACAATATCCAACAAGCTGTTATTGTAGTGTCAGTGTTTAAGTTAATCACAAAAAAGTTATAAAGCTCATGAAATTTATATTAGCAGGCAAGAAAAAAAGGGTGCAACCAAAACCATTAGGCCTAACCAGTCAAAAGAAACTAACTTGTAATAGTAAACTACTGCCAGTAGAGGCCGCCGAGTCCACTCATCTCATTGCTGTTGGACATTGTTCAGTGTCAGATATTCAATGTCAGATATTAGTCTGATATAGATATATTCAAAGTCTCTTGGAGCATAGCCCTAAACACAATAGGAAGTCAGCTATTTTGAACTTCCTCCTAGATTTTGTGCATTTTTCATAATTTCCTGATGTTGTACTTTAACAAAACTACAGTTTTGATCTGATCCTCTTTAAATTTGGTGAGTGTAATCTTAAAGGTGCAATGTGTAACAAAGTTGAGTATCTATTAACAGAAATGCAATATGACATCCATAACTATGTTTTCAGTGGTGTATAAAGAACTTACTTAATTAACCGTAATGTTTTTATTACCTTAGAATGAGACATTAATAGCTCCATAACCGCGGGAATCCCCTTTTATGAAGGTCGCCATGTTGTGACGTCATATTCCAACGCATTCTCATCCTTTAACGTCATATACAACGCTATATGCAAAAACGGCGCTATACTACGCACATGGCACCCGTTATCGTTAATATAACACGCGCTGTGAGGGCTAAGTTTAGGTGTGGGGTAGGGTGTGCGTGTCATATTCACGCTAAAGGATTTATAACGTCTTGGGTTCGCGTGTTATATTAACGATAAAGGGTGCCATGTGCGTACTATAGCGCCGTTTTTGCATATAGAGTTGTATATGACGTTAAAGGATGAGAACGGGCTGCATATTCCTACCGTAGCCGAACGCGAACACACAGTGCTACAGAACGCGTTTCATCACTACCTTGAAAGAGAAGTAGCGGAAAGCTGGAAGCTAGCCTTACACTCCGTGAGTAGTGACTTTTCCCTTGTGAGTGGTGTAAAATATGTAGTTGGGATTGTTTCATGTAACTTAGTTCTCCCTCGCTGTGTTATGGGTTTGTTATGTTGGGGATAGATGTGCTGTTACGTTCGTGAGACAGCTGATGATTAGTATTCATGTCATTGACCGTAAAACAGTACGTTACAGGAATCACTAACCCGTCGATAGAGACTTTTACTAAAGTCTTTTATCACTAAAGTCGATCGCGAAGAATTTTAAAAATCAGAGAAAAAAGCCTATTGTGTGTAGTAAATAGTATTTATGGGATGCGGAGATGACATGATTGTAACAGCGCGCGCACTTCCGACCTTTGGACTCATGCGATGCCGACGCGTCCCAGCTCAGCCACAGTAACAGCTCATATTAGCCAGCTAAACTATTACTACCCTGTTAGAAAAAATATATAGCTGCTCCCTCGCTGTATTATGGGTTTGCTACAGTATGTGGGGAGAAATGTGCTGCTGGTTACGTTTGTGAGACAATCAGCTGATTAATATTATTTTATTAAATTATATATTAAAACCCTTGATCCTCACCTGACTATGGCTTTGTAAACAGTATTCATGATGTGGTTTAATGGACTGTGGTACAGAAACAGTGACAATGTTACACACTCTTGGCTTACTCTGGCTATTCTCTGCTGTCTCAGCCGACGAGATGTTTGTCCCGTTTTAGCAACCGTAGCTTCTTCGAAAGGGAGGGGTGAGCAGTGGGCTGAGCCCTTAGTGCAAACCTTTTGCAAACTCGCAACCACTAGATGTCGCTAAAAATCACACATTGCTCCTTTAAGGCCTTTGCGACGTTAGATTGCGAACATCTTGAGTTTTCGTCGAAGAGTGTGCCCTTGGCGGCCTGACAAATGTACACCCAATTTCAGCCTTTTGGTGATTTGTGAATGAATATGTCATATAGTTCAATATTGCTTGCAGTTCCGATGTTGCTAGGCAACCACAGACAGCCTGCAGTAACTCGGCATACAATGTCCGATCTGCCCCAAACTTCACATGTTTGATAAGAGTCCTGTCCTGAACACATGACCATGCTCATATTTGGTTATAGCAATAGCGCCACCTGCTGGTAGCAGGAAGTGTGCAAATACAAATCCTTTGACATAGTCCTCCTTTATTTATTATAAATTCTTTTCCAAAAACTGAGTGTTTATCTTTAAAAAACCCCAAAAGACAACAACAAGAGAATATGCAACATATAATCAGGGACTCGTATGAATATAAATTAAATAAGTGCAAATGCATGAAATATACTGAATAAAAGCCAAACAAAATTAATTCTCAATATTTTTTTTATTCTGGTGCGTTTAATGTTATCGTTTTCTCAGAGTTTAGGCTCCTATGTAATAGTAGCCTAGGCTATTTAAACTCAAACACACCAAACCAACAATTACTGAAAGCACATAAAAACTGATTTTGCACGGGCATTACACTTACTGTAAATTCCATTTGCATGACTGGATTCCAGGATTCTACAACATGAGATCCAGCCGCGTTGCTTAAAGTTTACTCAACGTGTTATTTAAAAAAAAAAAATCTAATGAAAAAACAAAACAAAAAAAAACGATTACAAATTATTAAATAATTTACAATCTGCATATTATTTTACTTCACTTTATTTCATTTTTTCTGTATTTCATTTTATGCTCCACAAAACATGTTTGAATAGTTTGCCAAACATTTTCAGGTCAATCAATGTTAAATATTGACATTGTTATTAACATTATTAAATATGATTTTATTTTTTATTTTTTATATTACAGTTGTTTGTCCGTATGAAATAACAAATACAGTCATTGTTATGGAACAGTTACGACAGACAATTATCTCGCTGCTTACAGATACAGTAACAAAAACAACACAGACCTGACTGAGTCAAGGTCCAAGAGAGCCAATTAATGTGTTCCCTGGACACTAATACACTCAAGAGGCCTACTGAAAATAATACAACAGAAAATTATGTATTGTTTTTCCCTGTAAAGCTTTTACCTCTACAATATTTGAAATTTGATAAATTCCAGAAATAAGAATTCCAGAAATAAGATTCAAATTGTTTACAATTTCACATGCAGCATATGCCTATGTTAAGTTTAACACTTTATTTTATGGTGTCTTTGTTACATATGTTATATGAACTTACCATACTTACCAATAATAGTAAATTATGCATAATTACTTGCAACTACCTCAACCAAATCCTAACTCTACACTAACCCTATAGTAAGTACATGTAGATACTTATTATTGATCAGTACATAAATATATAATTACATTGTAACAATGGCACCTTAAATAAAGTATAACCCTGTGTTGTTTTTGTCTGTTGCAGCTCTAATACAGAGCAATCAGTGACATGATATGTATGGGTCAGATGATTGGCTCAAAAGATGTTTCTGAACTCATTGATCATGACGTAAAGATATCATGACCTATACGTTTTGGATCATGACCCATCATGTCACTGATCACTCTGTATTAGAACTGCAGAAACAACATAGATATATCTGTTTTGTTTCTGTGAACCCATAGAACAATGAGTAAATGAAACATGCAAAAGTATTTTATCAAAGTATATTGCTAATTTCAATGCTTTCAATGTAAAAACACATTTTGGTGTAGGTGAATTGACAAACTCTACCAGCAGGGACAATGTTCAGTTACTCTGAACCCCTGGTTCCATTTAGGCCTCTCTAATCCACAAGTGGCCTTAATATGTTCTACATTCATTTAAAGTGACCTGAGGCTTAATTCACTTACTCAATTCAGGCCCTTAGTCATAATCAGCTCACAGTGGCTGTCCCCTGACCAATGTTTCACAGACTTAATATGAATCCTCTCTGGTCTTTAGTCCCAGCAGGGTCAGTGTTTTCATTGAAATAAACTAGAGAATCTTTGGCAGCTGGATTCGTTTAAGCCTGTGCTTCTCAATACTGCACATTTTACAAGTCTAACTAATCTGACACCCTAAAATCTATGGAGCTAGGAATGTGTCTTTATTACATGTGAAAAAAGCATTTCATGAGAAAAAATATATATATGAGAGAAAAGATTTTTATACCAACAGCAAAAATAATAATATTTGAAACTAAAAAAGTTTTTTTTTTTTTTTTAAGTTTTTATTCTCATAGAATATAAACAAAAATATAAATTTTAAAATTTTAAAAGTATTTCTGAGAAAAAAATCGCCTTTAAAAGTACTTTGAAAAAAAAAAAAACTCAAATATGTATTTTTTTGCTATAAGTGTATCTCTCAAAATGCTTTTCTTTGCTCTCGATGCAATTTTTTGCTCTTGTGTCTGGATTTTGCTTTCACTGTGAAAATTGTGTCATGGGCGGGGCCATTTTCCTATTGGCCAGTTGTGTGAGCATCGTCTTGTCTTCGCGTCGAACTGAATCATTGTTGCACCATTGTTCGGTTCACATAGATAGATGCTGCCTCTGCCTTAGTTGAGCACGGACACTCCAATGTTTGTGTAAGATGATGACATACACAACTCGATGGGTAGCTAGCAGAGCAAGTTCACCATCACCGAAGATTAAATATTAAAACTCAAGTTTACCTAGCATGGTGGCTAATTAATGATTAGCTTTACTAGAGATTAGCAAGCTAATAATATAATAGCTACACACTACCTCATGAATATGAGTGCAATTTTGCAGTAATGCTAAACTTGCTCAGCCAGCTACCTCGAGTTGTGTGTGTGATCATCTTACCCAAACATCGGAGTGTCCATGTTCAATTTAGAGCTTAGATTGGGCCCAGAAATCAAGCCACCCTACCCGAGTCTGTTGTGTCCGAGCCCGGCCAGACACATTAACTGAAATATGAGCCCGAGCCCGATTTAAACGTATTAGTTTTTTAATACGTGGGTCATTATTATAGCTGACATTCTCAACTACTTTCTATGTTACTTTCTCCCGCCTTATGTTTTGTCCAGCTCCCGCCCGCAAATAGACTTTTTTTTCCTGTACATCCAAATACTTTCAAGTTAGCCTACGTGTCGCCACCATACACATCAGCATAAATGCCCCTGATAAATTATTTGTTATTAAAGCATTAACAAGCACGCTAC